TCAAGATTTGTACTACTATGTGACCTCAAAATGTTTATTTATCTATGCTGATTTCCTTGTTGATATCGGTACGTCTCCAACGTTAATGCCGGTACGCATACAACGACAGATCTTTATTCACTCGACACGACGACTAATCACAATCGACCCATATAGAAATTTCATCGAAAGCGAATAACGTACAGTTCGGGCGTAACGCTATTTTCGTTGCATTTTCACAGATTTACACCCTAGTCGTGCCTAAAGAAGTTTTACATTTAAAAATGAATGTGTGTACGTATGTGTGTGTGCAGGTATACGTAGATACATTTTTCTCGTTCACAATTTTGAGAGCACGGTTCACCCGATTTGAATGAATCAAAAAACATTTGATTCTTATTGATTTATATTGTGGTATTGCTGCAATGAAAATTGATTTTTTGTTATCATAAATTTTATAATTTTTTTTCTGCCTCTGGTTTTAATTTTCATGTCTGTCATTAAATTTAAACTTACCCAACTTTTATATTCTTCTTATATTATTTACATAAAGTAATTCTCTCAAACTTTATCCAATATTTATATTATATATAGTTTTTTTTTTCATTTGAAGCACGATCAGAACTAAAGAGCCCTTTAAACTGTTGCGATAATTTGACTTAACTTACTACATCGGTTATATAAATAGCAACCCAAATGGTTGTGTTATCTCTGTGATAAACTATTATTACAATTTTTATAACATTTACGAATATTTTATTGATGCAACAATCCGGACAAAGACTATTTTCACTTGGAAATATATTGATGTTTATGTCGAATTGAAAACAGATGTCACTACTGCTTGAAATCAAGCTGCCCAACTAAGGTATCGATACCCTGATCACGAGTATAACTTAATTTTTTTTCCTCTGATTTAAATTATATCTATTTGTAACAATTTTGTTAGCTCTCACACACTCAACAAAGTCGCAGAATGCTAAAAAAAGATAAGATTTTTTGTCGTCTGTTCATTCAGAAAAGGGCAGCTTCAGCTTCTCCCATCTCGAGTCGCACCGCATTATCGTAATTAATTTATATCTTTTGTTTGTCCCTTACAATTCTGACCTTCAACCGATAAAGTTTATAGCTCAATTTATATTAAACTTATTTAGAATATATTGTCCTCCTTGTACATAATGTTTTTGCAAATTGAAAAATATGTTTGCTGTTTGTATCGGAAAGCGGCTATAAAATAAATTGTGTGTAAATGGTATTTTGCCTTAAGGAAAGTTGCATGAAGTTCAGAGTTGATCAAAGTCCATCAGCGATAAATGAATTTTTAAACGATTAATTGAATTTTTGAAATTGGTATATGATATTATGAATATATTTGATGAAAAATATGTAAATTTCCATTTTGATTTATTTACATATTATTACATTGAATCCTAATAGTAGTTAAAACTTATGGAATATTTTCAACGTATTTAACTTTTCAAATTATTATCATAGTAGAATACCAAGAAATGACTCAAGTGATTTTACAAATAGTTAATTAGCACTATTTCAAACTAATATATTTCCTATGTAGGAATTGAGTGAGCCTGAGTGAATTGAAAAAAAAAACATTTTTCATATATTTTATATTGATGACCTACGATATTCATAATGAAGATACCAATTGAACATGAACCAAGAATTTAAAAAATGGTCATAAAATTTTTTAAAGTTTTATAATCATAAATTTTAATATACTATTATATACATGAAAATATCCTATTTTATATATTTTATTATTTCCATGCCTCTTTTAAATTGTTTTAAAATAAATTCATCTTTTTCATCCCATTTATCCTTTTTAGCATTCTGTGAACAATGTGTGAGAGCTTGCGAAAATTTTTGCAAATATATTTCAAGAGTAAAAAAAAATATCTAAAGGTATATTTTAAATATGGCTCTCTTGTAGATTAGTGATTAGAACTATGAAATTTTAGTCAGAAATTTCAGGTTCGATTTCTTATTCCGTCAGCCTGATGTCAAGCAGCCGCAGATATAGCTAGCATTATGTTTTCAAGCAAAATTAGCAATAAATTTTTAGTTCTTTATTTTGTCCATACAAGTAGAATGTTTTTTGAATGATTAAAATCTGACTCTACGTTCTCTTAAAAACTGAATTATCATTTTTGGCACTATTCGCGTCTTCGAAACGACTGGACCTGTCTTGAATCAAAGCTAATCAGCACGTCTCCTTATCAATACGAATCAAATGTTTTTTGAATAATTCAAATCGGTTGAACGATGTTCCCAAAATCGTCTACAATAATTTGTATCCGAACACACACACACACACACACATACATACATAAATTTTTCAATTTCGATTTTTTTGCGATTACTATAACTTACCTTACTGGAAGGTTATAAGGTAATTCTTCAAAATAAAATTTAATTAAATTTAGAGAAGACTTCTCTTTCGCCCAAGAAAATTAATCGTTATATTTATTTCATTTTTTTTAAAGTGAGTTGGATCAGCGAATTATAAATGATCATATGATTGTGACACATTTTTGCAGAAAATAGAATGAAACCGTATTCCGAACTATTTTCATTTTTTGTATCTCATTGAATTTGTCCACACAATACAATAAGTAGGCACTCGACATTTTCCGCGTTGTCAGGTACATTGATATAGGTGTGATATACTTGCTGTCGATATGTTTACGATGTAGTTTATCTGAAATTGAATCGATGAGGTTGGGTATTTAGATTACAATACCGCACAAGCACCTCTGTTATATTCCACAAGAATTCCAGGATTCCACAAGTGGGTGGTCTCACCGTGTTCTGTGCGAAATTCGGATCCGATCTGTCCCAAATATTTGCATATCGAACTTGGTAGGAAGACTATTATGGACTTTATCACTTGCCATGAGATTAGGATAGGTGATTAAAATAACTTGGTATCAAATGTTTTTGGGGTAGAATCTCAGGGCTGTTTCGTGACTTTGATAGCTTTGGTCTTGCAACCCCACTGCATTTTTTTTGCTTATGGACATACTTTAGTTGCATTTTGAAAATAATGATTTTGACATGTTTTTGACCAGCTTTGAATTCAACATATATCACAGGATTCAAACAAAAATTTTAAGCACGTTTATATGTCTACATCTGTCAAACTGAAATATATAATTTTATTTGCTGAATTATTTTAATTTCTTGCACATCCCAGATAATTTTCGGCAATAATATCGTCACATTAAATTTTTCTAACTTATGATCATAATATTGTCTAGGCTCATAATTTAACCTAAATTTAATATAGTTGACATTACTCAACCTTTTGGCATAAGGAAATTGAAACGACAATGGCCTTTAGATTTAGTCTTAGATTAGGTCTAATATAATATTATCATATTAATTGTTTAACTGAGATGATCTCATTGGAGTTCTTCTTAGGCATCGCTCTTAAATATTGTCATTTTAGCTCATAGGAATCTTTATGTATTTCTGATTGCTAAATAAAACAGAGTTAAAAAGAAAAATTCAAGTAAATTGACATTTATGGCAGATGGCAGTTCTCATTAGTCAGTGTTTTCAACGCCTAATAATGATACATTGTTTTTTTTGCAATTTTTTTCATTTATTTCTACAATATTTTTATAGTTTTAAAATTCATCGCATCTTAAAAATTTTCCTTAACAAATTTCAAAAAGATTTATCTTAATTCGAATAAACATGTAGGAGTAGTTTGAATTCATACATCCACACAAAAGATTTTTATATATAAAATGCATGTATATATATATATATATATATATATATATATATATACATACATATATTCATGATATTAAATATTCGACATAGTTAATATTTTGTGGCATTCGATAAACCGCCGATCCTGAAAAGTTAATAGCTGAGCCAATAATAATCCAATATATCTCATTAATGTTTTGAACATCACATACGCTAATAAATACAATGAATATTATGCTGTATTATTTCAAAATTTGAACATAGTTTAGTACGTAACTACAGATTATAATTTACAATAATCGTATATTATTTTATAGTGAAAATTGTTGCATTAATTAATAGATTTTTGATAAATATATCAAAGGCGCACAAAAATATTTGGAGCAAAATTAATTTCAAGATAAAAATGTTGTCAAATGATTCTTGCAAGATATGTAATTTGTTCTCTCTTTTATTAATAACTATCAGAATATTAATGAATTATATAATTTTGATATACATTATTTACATATAATTATACATAGTACAATAATTACTATTAGATGTAATTTATTACAAGAATCAAGTCATATGCAAATTAATGACGTTGAAGTGTTAAAATATAAATTTTGCCTAAAATATTCTAGATAACTTTTATTAAGGATGAAGTAGATTTTATTTTGTTTCATAATAATCACCTTGCTCTAAAAATACTTTTAATAAAATCAGATTTTATTCCATTATTATCAAGTCTATTTTCCAAGGTTTTAAAAGATATCACTTGAAAATAATCAAATTAATAGAAATAATAATAACAAGAAATAACTTCATAGAAACATTAAAATATTTTTTTTGACTAAAATATTGTATATGACTTTTATTAGACTTTCTTTAAATGTAAATCAATCATGTAGAGTTCAATCTGCTTCTTCACAATCTTTTTATTATGCAAATACTTGTCTTAATTTTTTTCATTATTTTCAAAGGGTTTGATGCTTTTGTAATTAAAATTTAATCATCATTTTAGTTTACGCTTGCTGCAGATTTTTAATTGTAACTATATCGAAAAATATGTTTCTTTAAAACGTATATTAAGTATTCCTGTTACTCGATATTTGATGAATTTGGTAAAACATACATTTTAAATATGGGGAATCAATTGATGAACGTTCTAGTGGAGCTGCTTGTTTAGAATATTTCACAAGTTTTTTCAGAACTAGAAAATAAGAAAATTAAATCAAGTGATATATGTATATATTTTCTATAATTTAAATTCTTATCTTATTTCTTTTTTTTTATTTCAGCCGCGCAATTCAATACTTATGTTACGTTGAAGTTACAAAACGTAAAATCTACCACAGTTACAGTCAAAGGAGCTTCACCATGTTGGGAACAAGACTTCTTATTGTAAGTACATTATAATTAGTAGATACTAGTATTATATTATTATGAATATTTACAATATAATATCAAAATTAATTTCGTAACAAGTTCAGAAACGTAAAATAGTTGACAGTCATTTTATTTCCGAAATTTGATTGAACATCATTTCTTACGGAATGCAGATTCTCTTTTTTTTGTTATAAATGTTAGAGCATCCACGTCAAGTATTGTGCTTTTATTTTTCGAAATGCGAAGAACATATAGAGAAACATGAAGAACAATGAAAATCAGTTGAAAAAAAAATTAAATGGAAGTACAGGATATGAGACGAGATAGTATATATGATACAGTGGCGTAACTATAGGGTGGCGTGGGTGGCAAAATGCCACGGGCCCCCGGCCCAAGGGGGCCCCGGCTCAAGAGGACGCGTGCTCAGAAATATTGTTTCTACATTATACTCTAATACTTTATTTCATTTGAAAAGTATGTTTTAAGAATCAGGGGCGTAACTACCGCCGTATCAGCCGTATCAAATATACGGGGCCCCCAAACCAGGGGGCCCCCAACGTCCGTAAGAAACATTAATAATATAAAAAAATCATGAAAAACGAATTAATCATGAAAACTTCGTTCAATCAAATTTAATGTCGTTAAAAAAGTACGCGAGGAATGTAAGATTATTATTTTAAAGAGTTTTATTTTGTCCAGGCCACGGGGGCCCCAAATACGCGTAAAAAAAATACGCGAGGAATGTAAGATTATTATTTTAAAGAGTTTTATTTTGTCCGGGCCACGGGGCCCCCAAATACGTGTAAAAAAAGTACGCGAGGAATGTAAGATTATTATTTTAAAGAGTTTTATTTTGTCCAGGCCACGGGGGCCCCAAATACGCGTAAAAAAAGTACGCGAGGAATGTAAGATTATTATTTTAAAGAGTTTTATTTTGTTCAAGCCACGGGGGCCCCAAATACGCGTAAAAAGTACGCGAGGAATGTAAGATTGTTATTTTAAAGAGTTTTATTTTGTTCAGGCCACGGGGGCCCCAAATACGCGTAAAAAGTACGCGAGGAATGTAAGATTATTATTTTAAAGAGTTTTATTTTGTCCAGACCACGGGGGCCCCAAATACGCGTAAAAATTAGTAAAATCTAACAAATTTTGGTTTGATTTCACTAATAACAAAAGTTAGAATAAACATGAAAATTTTCTTCTAAATAAATTTAATTTCGAAAAAAAAAACATGAGCGTGTAAGAATGTAAAAATATAATTTTAGAGTGTTGTGATTTTTTTTTTATATTTTCTTTAATATTTATGAAGCTCTATGGTATGCAAATAATGACTAATAGAAAACTAACTTTTTATTAAGTCATTTCTTGAATAGATTATGCGAATTAAAAAATCAAAATTAATTTAGTAGTTTGTTCAAAAATTAACAAAGGAATGGATTGCAAAGACTGTTTGTAAAAACAAAATATCAAACTTAACATGTAGCTTATGAAGCTAATTAAAAATTAAACAAAAAAATGTTTGATTTTCAAAACAAAGCAGTAATTGTACTTTTAATTTATTGATTTTGACTTATAATTATTTTTATTTTTATGTTTTTTTGTACTTATACATTTTAATTTTTTTTTAAATTTTTGTATACATACATTTTAAATAATTTCCTAATTTCAAACCATAAAATATGAATAAGTCGAAGTAGATTTACTTATTTTCAATACAATTCATTACAAATCGTGGATATATATAACATTTAACACGTTGAAAAATTTCGAGTTTTTTTTAAATTAAATTAAAACCACTTGATTTTACTGATAGGGGGGCCCCATCAAAAAAATTTGCCACGGGCCCCGGATGGCCTAGTTACGCCACTGATATGATATATGTATAAGATATATATATATATATATATATATATATATATGTATATGTAAGAATTGTATAGAATATGCTGAAAAATAATATGAATAATGTAGGTTGCTAAAAATGCTGTAAAGTAGAGGCCAATAGAAAAAAATTAAATGATAATACAAAGTTATCTAAAGAACCATTATCAAAGTCATCATCATCATTCAAAGTTAGTCATTACCTTGGCGGATATCAAAAGTACAAAAACGTTATATGAAATTAAGTTCAAAATAATTGACATCAAAATTTGGTTGCTATAGCATTCACGTCAGTCAAAAAAAAAATCTGCAGAATAAAAATGAATGCTATAGCGAGCATGTTATTAAAACTAGTTGAAAGAAGCATTTTGCCTTAAGGCAAGTTGGATGTATGATAATTAAATTAATCAACCGAAATTGATTACCGTAAATGACACACATACACGCACACAAACATATTTCTTCCAAATTTGGTCTCATTTGATTCAGAATGGCTTGAAACGTCGAGAAAACATAAAATTAGCGAATAGGATTTTTTGATGAAAACAAACTTCTGCTTCGGGAAGTTAATAATGCTATACCACAAAGAAAGCTGGTCGATGTGGTATAATTATATTATACTGATCGTAATTTATTTAAATCTACGCCCTTTATAGTGAAATGCAAATTGTAATTGCATAACACGACCCAATTTTCGATTTGTATAATAATGTATCTCTCAGCATCTGGGACACATAGTATCGTATTGTTCAAATCCGTGCCGAATATATAGCCTCACAGTCTCTATTAAACAGTACATAATGGTTTGTTGGTTATAATGTACCAACAACATGTATAACTATCGAATTATATATAACATGGATGCACTATATGGTATGTGGCTAAATTACACTGCAATTAGTGTTAAGCAATGTTGTAAATTTGATCCGAAAATAAATTAAGTGCTCACTTTAATACGGTTATTATTTTGCAATACGGCGATGTGGATTGAAATTTATGCCATGTGATAAAGTGATTTTCGGTATAGCTCAATATTTATTCAAATCATAAATTGAAGTAATGATTTTGATCATTGGATCACTAGATAAAATATTTAAACTGTAAATTTTTGGTGCGTGGCAAAATGCAAACTTTGCCTTAATGCAAACTGCAGATTTAAAAGATTCCCGTACTGTAATTTAAAATTAAAAAAAGTGAAAAGAAAATTAAGATTTTTTTTAAGTTTTAAATTTTCTTGAAAATCTTGAAAACATTTGAAAAATTTGCCTCGTTTAAAAACTACGGATTTTTTGAAAAATTTGAACATGTTTAAAAATACTAAATTTTTTTGAAAAATGCTTGATTTTTTTTTTTGATGATTTGAAATTTCTTGAAAGATATGATGATACACGCTCATGTCGGTTGATCTATACTGTCTAAATATCTGGTTTTTGACCCCCAAATGGCATTTTTAAATATTTTTTTCTGGATTTCTAGAAGCGCTAGACCTGCCTTTGCAATAATTTAATCAATTATTAATCAGGTGAAATGCATTTTGAATAATTGAAATCCGATGCTCAAAATCGTTCTCTCAAAAACTTATTTGTCATTTTCTGGACTCTTTGCTCTGTGTCTCCGAAACAGTTTGACCTACCTATCCCAAAAACTAATCAGCACATCTCCCTCTCGAAAACGTTGGCGTAAAATTGTTTACATCTACATATTAACTTAAAATGCACACACACATCATTTTTTTCTAAGGTATGCCAAAATGTTCAGGAACAACTGAAACGTAAGGATGTGCAAAATTCTTGATTTTTAGTTTTTGGATGTGTTTATAACTTATCTTACGGGAAGTTAATTATAATCATTAATAACTAGATATAATTGGAATTTTGCTCTAGGAGAATTTACATGAAATTCTCGATATGAATAATCGACTTCATCAAAATTGATTTAGATTTAAATAAAATTCTTAACTATTTATTTCGAAAGTTAAGTTTTAGCTATTATTTTATTATTTGCAATCGAGATTTTGTTTCAAATTATATCAATTAAAAAGTAATTGGATATGGTACAACGGCGATATAGTGCTTTTGCAAACTCGCAAAACTAGTGAGTACTATATGAAAATTCGAAACTCAATATAGTGTTTTAATTAACAATGTTTTAATTAGGTCGATTGCTTTTAAATTGACTATTTTGTTGATAACTAAAATTATTGGGTATAGTGAGATGGGAAATATATATCTTCAACCTATTTTTTGTAAAAAGTTACCTTAAAGTTTTACAATTTTTTTTCAGATTTGCAAATCTATTTTAATATACATATTTTTTGCACATGAATATGCTAAAAATAATTGAAATAATATCATACAGAAACTCAGATTTTGCAGAAATGTGTTATAAAATGTCTACACCCCTATAAATACCAAATACATATTTTGCACATATGAGCGTAAAAACACAGCAATAATGTATTAAAATAAACAAATAAATTTTGAAGAATGTAACATTATCAAGACTAAATAATTAACATAATGAATTTATGAATTAGAGTTAAAGTTTAAATATAAAAATAATAAAATCATGGACTACTATATTCATTATTTCGAACCATCTGTTAATTAATAATATTACTTTGCGCTAATCCAAGCCGCAGGTTGTATTAATTATGATGCTTCCATAAAAAATATAAAATAACTTATTTTTGATGTATTTTCTTTTATTATATAAATAGGAATATATGGATATATTTCTACCATATATTATTATTTCCGAGATTTATGTAGGCAAATATTTTCCGTGCTCTTTCTGCAAAACTTGTTTACATCATATCTCAAGATTGAAAATCAAAGTTTATTTAGCGTGTATATGCCAATCCAGTCGTGAAATAACTTCTAAGTATGCAATATAACAAACTGCGAATTTATGGATTCAAGTTTTAGTCTTAGGAATATAACTAATAACTTGTGAATTTGTAAGTAAAATGAATAAATGTTGTAACAATCTACTCTAACTTGTTTCAACATCGCTCATTATAATGAAATAATTTGAAAATGTTCTTATACATTTTTTAAATTTTTTTTTTTTTTTTTTGGTTTAAAATTTTATTATGGCGCTCATTATTTATCAATTGTCAGAACTACTGGATA